ACATGGATGCACAAATACAGAGAAACAACAAACAGATTCATTATAAGCATGGATGAATTTACATCATGGAAGCATTGATAATTTGCATTTATTCTCTCAGCCATAAACATCATAAAGATTACATGACAAAGTCAAAAGTGAATCTGAAGCTACAGCACCGACAAAAGAAGGAAGGGATGGAGTTTTTCTGTTTACCTTATCATTCATGAATCCTCAAACCTTGAGATCTCCACCGTTTGTTTGTTCATCCAATCTAAAGCCACGGCCTAAAATCAAAGTCCTACACAGCGAAAACATGCATTAGTAATATATTGAGCATTTCATTCCAATTCCTTGAACAATAAAATTAGAGATGAAGGATGGCAAATGCTTACCTTTGCGATATCAGAGAAAGGGATAGAGATGCTCTTGCTTAAGTTTTTGGTCAAGGTTTGTTTGCGGGTTGAGCATCTTGGTGGCTCTAGGTGGTTGAAGGATGATTGAGGTAAGGTTTGGTATTTGGACGAAGAAGAAGATATAAAAGAAACATACCAAATAAACGGGCAAGACTTAGACGTTAGAGGTAAATTCGGAAAGCTCGATATTTTATTTGCTTGGGCCAGCTTTATTGGGCTGGTTTGGTATTGGGTTTTGTTCTAACCATTAAATAAAGCTATTACATGATTTTTGGTTAAATTTTAAAGTTTTGAAGCACTTTTCATTAGTTTAATATTTATTTATTTGAGTTAGCAAAAGGGTGGAATCCGCTCTTGACACGTCATTATTTAACAGCTAAATTGATAGAAATTTTAACAGAGGTCTGACATTGCAACGAATTCATAAGTTGAGGTATGATATTGCAATGTTTAAAACATGAGGTATAAGATTGTGGTTCAATCCATAGTTAATGTCACGCCCGATCCCGACATACGTCAAGGATCGACATGTGACGTCACCCAAATACTCGTATATCTCACATACCCCGTCTCAGGAATATGGCAAATCACATTTCGAGAATCAAATTGCATAGTAATTTTTCGTATACTTTATGACTGCATCTAACCTCCTCGTTAGACTGCCTACGTACTCTCAATAGGGATCAAGCCATTCGCAGTTCACTTATCACAAAATTAGACGTTTATTCCACTAAGTTCAAGCAGAAAATCGTAGCATTCCTCAATCATTCAATATAACTTGACAACATGTAATTCCTGGACTCAGGCTACATAACCAATCCCCATGAAAACATGATTTCTCTCCCATCCAATATATAAATCATTATGTCACATCATGATATCGCAATTCACAACATACATCATATTTAAGAGCCAACGAAACACAAAACCATTCTCTAGCCGCATTAATTAATTAATTTGGTCAAAGTAATAACAATCATTCCCATATCTTCTAAATCCATACCTTACGAAATCATAATCAATTCATAGAAAATCTCGAAGGAGTCACTCAGACGTCCAACATCTTTTCTAACTCAATTCACATGACTCTTGAAACCATTGACACAAATATATATATATATATATATATATATATATATATATAACTAAGGCTAGAGTGACATAGCTAGGCCAAGCCTACTTCTCCAAACAATGGGATTTTAGGCCACTCCACAAAATTCAATAACCTCGGGTTCCGGACCACTCAACGGAACCAAACCAAATATGATCGCCTAAAAATGTACCATGTACAACTAATCATCATCACCTCTAGAATGTGCATGGTCCCCCATCGCGGATATACCAAGCAGGACCATAGGTAAAAACTCATCGTGTAGGTAGTAATCACCCATCGCGGATATACCAAGCATGATCACCCCTGAATACATATGGTCCCCCCATCGCGGATATACCAAGCAGGACCATTCATGTACCACAACTATGTGGTGCAATCTCATCATCACACATTAAACATAATTATACGCATACATGCTATCGATTTCACATATCAACCAACATCAAGTTAGATGGAGCACAACACAAGGAATTCCCTTAATTACTATTTTTACTAAAATCCAATAAAGTACCTAACTCATCTCTTGACTTCCATCTCCATCTCATGCTAGGTAGAATGCCAAGTTCAAATAGATATACAGTTGGTAATCATATCCAAATAATTATCAAACAATATTTAAATCCCATAATTGTCATAACATTCATCATAATTATCAATCACATTATTAAAAAGATAATTAAACACATATATGTCCAAACATCATCAGCGCACAAGCCAAATCCTATTTAATAAGCATAGGCCTATGACTAAATATATAAAATCACATTTCAATAGAAATCATATTCATAAGACCAATTCTCAATCACAATTGATACCAATACAAGAAATTAAGATAATAATCATGTCTCATATATTCAAGTCGCTATCAAACCAATATAGGCCCACTAGATTTTCACTAGTAATACTCTAAGGTCCATAAACCATATCTACAATAGCATACTAAAATTTCGTATCAATTCAATGGTAAGATCGTCAATTGCTAGAATATTCAAGTGACGGACCTTATCGAAAATATACTCAACCAACAGCATTTCATAAATCAAATGTTACATATCGGAAAATTCGACTTTTTCCAAAAATTCTCAAATTTCACAAGAATGAAGATCTCAACAAGTAGAGTAAACTTTATACCCGCGGCCAAGGCTAATTTGGCTGGAAAACACCCCAAACTGGCCACGAACCGCCAAAACCCTAAGGTGGGTGTTCCAACGCCCTTACAACCTGTTGGGTCTTGTCCCTGGGTCCAAGGGGAGTTGATTAAGGATGATGAAGCATGGTGATACTCACCGGAACAACGGAATTGCCGTCAAAACTTCATGGGTCACCCGCACGGTTTTTACATGGTTTTGGACCCAAAACCCTTCAATCTTGGACGAGAAAGGTAGAAGAGAGGTAGTGGAAGAGATTGCAGGTAGTTAATGGTGGTTGTTCAACAGAAAAGATGGCCGAAATCGCCGAAATTTGCTCGGGTGGGGGCGCGGGTGCACGAACGGGAGGGGAAGGTTTCTTTTTTCCTTTTTCTTTTCTTTTCCGCACCCCCTTCCCCTCCTTTTTCCTCTTCCTCCTCATTCCTTCTTTTCTAATCCCCCTAGCCGGTTCCCTTAACCCAATTATAAATTTGGACCTTTAACCCTCTAGTGGAAATTAAATAATTTTTACAACTTCAAACGTCCGTAACTATACTGTTAGAACCCAGACTTGCAAATGGCTTTCGCCTATGCGCTCGTGGCTTCGAGACCTATTCGAAAACGTTACTTGTGACCTCAAAAGGTCAACGAGTAAATAATAATTTTCCAAACTTCACTCTTCGTAACTAGTTTAAATGAAATGTAATTTCAAATAAATCAATATAAATTCTCGAAAAATAATATAAAATCTCAATAATACAAATACGTAGATTATAACAGTGAAATCTGGGAACGGAATTTCAAAGTTAAGGTAGTTTTATGTAATTTACCTTAATATTTTTGTCATCACATTGCCACTTTCTATTATTATATTGAAATTTTAGTAACATTGAAATTGTAATACATCATCATTGAAATCATCTCTATTATCAGATTAGGTATAAACTATATTATAATAAGATTTTCTTATTTATTTTTGGGGTTACTCTCACTAACTGCTACCTTTATTCTAAAAAATATTTAAGTCTGAGTCTCATTTAATTTCCAAACAAGCACAGAACGCGTCGCAACGTCGAAGCTGGCAAAGCTTGATGGCAACAAGTATCCACTCTGATTTGTTGCAGATCTTGACAGTAGATTGCGGCAAATATTTACAGTTTTGCCAATCTATTCTAAAATGGCCTCTCAATTTTGCATTATTTACATATCTACCATTGTGTGTGGCTGTGCTTCAGTCAATAAGAGCAACTCCAGCGTTGGAGCCCTCCCCCTGGTAATGCACTATTTAATCCACCTAATGAACAGTAACTGCCCTTAATGAACAGTAAATAGCCCTGGCAATAAAATTTGCATCTCCATCGTTACACTTCAATAGCCCTGGCAATAGGCAATAAAATATTAGTATTTTTTTTATTTATTAAATAATACAAAATAATTTTAATTGTAATATCGGATAAGATTTTTAATCGTTCTCATTGCGCCATGTGTCATTATCCGAAGTATTATTAAATAATACAAAATAATTTTATTTGTAATTTCGGATAAGATTTTTAATCGTTGTCGTTACGCCACTTATCATAAAATCCGAAAAGACAATTATTGGGGATGGATTTCCGATAAATTTTTTAATCGTACTCGTTATGCCACGTGTCATTATCTGAAAATACAATTATTGGTGATGGATTTCTGATAAGATTATTAACCAATCACGTCGCGCCACGTGTCATAATCTGTTCACAATCTTTGAGGATAGATTTCCATCAGATTTTTAACGAATGACGACATGCCACGTGTCATAATCTGTTCACAATCTTTGAGGATAGATTTCCATCAGATTTTTAACAATTTTTTTTAAATTTTTATTCAATTAATTAATCTCTGCCGTTGGATATAAAAAATTTGAATTCCAACACTCCAGATTGTGCCACGTGTCACAACGGTAAATTTTCTTAATTTTAAAACTATTTTTATTTATTTATAAAGAATATTAATATCCACCGTTGAGATCGAACGGTCCAAATTAAGTGACCGTTGAGATCTAACGGACCGTGGGAAGCCACGTGGCTTCCCAACGGTAACTGACAACCTTTTTTTTTTTCTTCTGATTTTTGTGTCGGCGACGCGCCCCCACGCGCGGGTAGGGTGCACGCGCCTGACACAAAAAAAATTAAATATTGCGCTGACGCCAGCCTGACGTCACGTCCACCTCGGGCTCTCGGGCTGGCAATTCCCCACGGGCCCGGAGCTCGGGCCTCCACCTTCGGTCGGGCTGGCCCACGCTGGAGCTCATCCCCTGGCCCTCGAGCCCTTGTTTTCTCGGCTGTCCCCCGAGCCAAACCCAACGCTGGGCTTGCTCTAATCACGGAATGGGCTGAGAGAGATGTGGGATGATTTGTGGAGGGATTTCAGGGATTTGCATAGAGAGGGAGATGAGACAGAGAGAGGGATTTCAGCGATTTGCCAATCCTTCCCCTTCACACAGAAGCTCTGCAAAGCAGTAGTCTTCCTTTCTTTTCTAACCCAGCGCCGTTTCATTTCTTCTTCGTTCTGGAGCCCTCCCATATTTCTACAGCTCCTCTCGAAGCCAAAACCAAACCCAGCTCCAATCCTTCTTAGGCCACCTCCAACTACTGTTCTCTCATCTTCTCTAAAGCATCCATCAGAACTGAAAGCATCCTCCATCTTGACTCTCAGAATAGCAATCCAACAGACCTCGGACATGCAGCAATCAAATCGCAGGTCTCCGACATCCACGAAGGTAAAACGATGGAAAAAAGAAAAGAAACGGAGAAACAAGGAAGAACAGAAACGCATATAACAACAGTGAGACCAAATGGAAGATCTAACGGGGGAAAAAAAAACAGCAGCGGAGAAACCGATGCCTATAGATTCCAAAGGAAAAGGTACGATTGTTTACACTGAAATGTAGTTTTCATATTTCTCGTCTTTATGTTTATAGTGATTGTTTAAGGAATTCAAACTGTACTCAGTTAGTGTGTGTATTTTTGGAGCTTAAGATAAAGTTTTAGGCTTTTTTTTTTTCAAGTTGAGGCTAAATGGGCTTACAGTATAGTTGACTTCCTACAATGTGGAGATGAAAATTAACAAAGTCAAAGAAGACGGCTATGGCGTTCAATTTCAAAAGCTGTATAGTTCATTTAGAGGGATCAAGAATTACATTTTTTTATTGATGGAGTGACAAGCATGACCCAACCAAAATGAAAGGTAAGTTCAAATCCTTCCAAATGAAGGTCATTTTGTTAATATCAAACTGTTTTCTAAAATAGAGGGAGAAATGGACATGAAGCAATTTTTTTTATATCATTCAAAATCAGGAGTCTCAATGACACTTTTTTGTTAGTATCTTTATGTCTTTTTTTTTTTTTCCTTCAAAACATCGATATATGCGACCAATTATATAAAAGAATGTATAAAAGCCTATATAGTTGCTTGACTAATAATTCTGGTATTTTGGGGGCTTTGAGCTTTGTTTGGGGCTTCTGGGTTGGTTTGTTGGTATTGTTGTTACATGAGTTTTTGCAAAGATTGGACCTTTATTATTGTCTATAGGGAAACGGTTATAGGGGTGTTGAATTTTACTGTAATGTGTTCATGTAATGTATCTTTCGGTGTGTGTGTTTTAATTTCATAACATCCTTTGGTCAGTTTTTGTACTTGTAGTTCTACATTCATCACTGTTTAATTATGTTCTTGAATTTGAATTCTGTGTAGTTTTTTGTTCTCTGGTGCAGTATTACTGTACTCATAAAATCCCACTTCTCTGTGCCTCCTCCCCCTCTGCTTGCATTAGTTGTGAATGATTTTATTTTTTATTTTTTTATTTTATTTTTTATTTTTTCCATCTTAGGAGTTTGTCAAGGAGAAAGTTCGTGAACGAAAGAAATCTAATTGAGAAGCATTTTCTTTTTGGCAGATATCATAAATTAAATTTGGGTATTTGAATAATACTTAGTCTAAAAGTATACTTTGTTTTTTAGTGGTACAATTTTATATTTCTTTCCTATTCAGTATTTTATATGCCAGGAATGCCCAGAGAAAAGTCATTGAAGAAATGAGTGAAAGAGCCAAAGCATCATTTGAAAGTGAGGTTTTACAATTTCTACCATGTACGTACACCAGATACTTCTGACGTTTCACATAAGGTAACTTCCCAAACACTGATATTTTGGTTTTCTATTGGCATATGTGAAACCAGCTTGATTCAGGTTACAAGGTTGATGGTTGTGGATTGTTATCACATTTAAAGTGGGTGTTCAAAATATGTTCCGTAGTCCGTGGTTTACCATCTTGATTGTCTTCGTTATTGATTCTGGTTCCTTGGAAAATTTAGTTGAATTAGGAGGTCATGTTGCTTTACTTAGAAGACGCCTGGTTTTCCATATGTATTGGTTGTAGCACTATCAGTCAATAGGATAAAGTTTATGCCTGGTTATATGGGATTGAATTTGTGTCATTAATTTAGCTAGAATTTTTCTTTAAGAATATTCTATTTTTATGGCCTAAGTCAATTTCCTTAAATAATAGGACATAATATTGGAACATGATGAAACAAATTCTTCTTTTCCACTGAAAATAGCATCAGAGCTGAATAAAACTCGCTCAGTCCCCCACCAGCCCCATGACAACAAGAATTACAAATTGCAGTTTCGTATATCATTGACGAAACTGTAACTTCATGTTGCTAATAGACAGACAAACCATGCTCACCAGTTTTCATCCCATTTACAAATTGAACAGTCCATACCTTTGTTTGTTATGTTTATCACCACCAACAAGTAGTGTTCATGATCACCGAGTGGTACAAAGAGTAGCTTAAAGTGTTTTCTAACCAATATGATGTATAATGGTTGTTGTATGTATATATTTCCCATGTCCTATGTTTGTCGTACATATAACTACAAATTCATCAATTTATCATGGTTTGTTTTTCCCTTGTGGTTTCAATAATTGAGTTGGATGTGATGCAGTTGGAGTTGCAAACGTTGAGTCTTCAGAGCGAGTAAGTCTACAGGGATACATTTTGTTTTGATCTTATCTTGTGTGATTGCATTTGATGTTGGGGTTAGATGTGGAACATATTAAAATAATCACCGTTGATTCATAATCTGCAGATTTCATTCTACGTGTATGTAAATAGAGTTCATATAATCAAACATGTTTGACTATAATTTAGATACAACAACTTTCATTCTACATGTTTGAATATATGAACTCCAAAAACTTTGTTTACAAACTTGTTTGATTATATTCAGGTTAGATGGGAACTATTATTAGCACTCCAAAAATCTCATTTGATACTCCTCACAAGTGTATTTTTCTTTCTAACTAATAATTATATAAAGTTCGTAGTGCAAATTGAGATTTTTGCTCAATAACAATTTCCTAAATAACTGCTTAATAATATTATATAAACTCTATTTATATACATGTTTGAATATAATTTAGGTACAGAAACTTTCACAATCTTTATAATAATTAATCATAAATCATCTTTTAATATATTTGAAGCTATTATATTTGACAATATAACTGTTATTTTAATTAGATAGCAACATGAATCAAAACTATTGGTTTCGTTTGGTCTTTATCAAAACTTAAATTATAGTTGTAAAATATGATATTGGATAAATCACCGAGAATATATTCTTTCTATTTGATATGTTTTCTATGGTTTTAAAACTTGCAACATCGCGTGCGCACCCTTGCTAGTTATTTGTAAAACATAAAGATACCTCATCCATTTGTGACTCGCAATGTCTGTAGGATTCGATGCATGTTTTGATGTATTTTGATCGTCCTTGGGTTAGGTTTTGAGATTAATTCAGTGTTTGTTAATCAAAATTAAATTATACGTACTTATTTTGTTTTGATAGAACAAAGAAATTCTGATTGCAGATATGAACTTAGCTAAGTTAGAGCAATATGAATTTAGTGTAAACTAACAAAATAAGCTAATCGCGCTCATGCCATTCCCAATTCTACTGCCCAAGTCTATTAGAGTGATACCAAGCTCATGAATCCATTTCAGTGAGAAGTTTATTTCAAAAGGTTTTGGTGTAATTTAAGTGAGTTACCACTCAAATAGGCTCCATATAAACACCCACATTTTTAGTTTCTGACGATTGCCTGCGTTAACAATGTCTTTTTCCTATATGATATTCTAACCAACATATCTTAATATACATAGAAGTGATATGAACTTGAACGACACGATGCCTTAACCAATTAACCTAACACATTTGCAAAATGTTAATTTTATTAGTTTTAGTTGGCCAATCAAGCCACCTATTTCCATACCTTGTTTGTCCAACCAGTTGTGCTACGTCAGAAGATTTTTCAGAACCACCAAATAACTCCATCACAGGCAGCTTTGACGTGCATTTTAACTCATAATACCTCCACCTGCGATCCTCTCAACCCTCTTATGCAACCCCGTATTTACTACCAACAAATAACAACGTTTTGTCTTCAAATTATACCAAGAAATTAAAGTGAAAAGCAAGACCAAAAGGTCACTAATTTATTGTGTTTGTTTGTATAATTTTTAAGAAGGTTATTTTCACACTTAATTTTATGTTTAGCTGTTAGATTGAATAAAGTAAACGAAATAATGGACATAATCAAACAGGTGCATGATTATTACTTCCTAATGTTTAGTGCATGGGTAATTAAATCCACAAAACAGTTGACCTATCATTCAATGCCAAAACACAAATACCACCTACCCTCTGCAAGTGGAAATTTCAAAAGGGCCATTTTCAAAAGCACATCAGAGCATCTCTAAAAGTGGTGTTAAAATGTCCACATCATCAATAACGGTAAGAAATAAGACATCACCAACGTTTTCCAATCGAAATGCCAATTCATATGTGACATGACATAGAAAGGTAGCAGAGGAAGTTGCTATCAAATTTGACAATAGCTTCAAATCTACTTTTAGTAATTAATAAATGTATTTTTTATAATTTTTATACTTATCTTTTTCGTAATTAATAATAGTCCAACCTATTATAAGCCTATACAAGGTCGCTCATCACATCAATGTGAAACTCATTCTCAACTCCTCCCATCAATGTGAGACTCATTCTTAACACGCTTGTTTACGTGTTGCGAATTTTCAAGCCTAACACGTGGACAACACAACTTGAGAGACGTGGAGCGTGTGTGGCCATTGGGTTTCAAACGTGGGATTTGCTATGATACCATGAAGAAAATTGAGGTTCCACCATAAAACAAATTGGCAATATGGGGGAGTAGCCCAACCTCTTATAAGTCCATGCAAGGTCCCTCATCCTATCAATGCGGAACTCATTTTGAACATTTCCACCATTCATGAATTCAAGAATAATATGAATGTTTGGGGCTTTTGGAGAAAAAAAGATCACCACAATCTGCAACCAAGCAATCTCCGACCAAAACATCACCCCACCTGCATCCAAACATCCGACAGTGCCACCACCAAGATCATCCACTTAGTGCCCTCTACCCAACAACCACATCACGCCCAACACCATGAACACCCACCCGAAATTCCAATTTGTTGCCCAATTGAAATAAAATTTTGGTACCATCGTCTTCTTCTCTAGTCATGGCCAACTGGAATATAATTTTGAAAGAAATAACATAAATTTAAAATTAAATAGATGACTTATGATCTTGAATAATGTAAATGCAAATCTTCTTTTTTTCTTTCACTATCCCGGAGATGGAAGAAAGGAATGAGAGACTAGCGGGGCCCATACCTTATTATGTCTTATTTATTTATTTATTATTCTTTAGGACCATCTCCAACCCATGGGATAAGCTTTAAATTTTCAAGCCTAATACATGGACAACACAGTTCGAGAGACGTGGAGCGTATGTGGTCGTTGAGCTTCAAACGTGGGACCTGCTCTGATACCATGAAGAAAGTTGAGGTTCTACCATAAAACCAATTCGCAATATGGGGAGTAGCCCAATCTCTTATAAGCTCATGCAAGGTCCCTCCTCCCCTCAATGTGGGACTCATTCTCAACATTTCCACCATTCATGAATTCAAGAATAGTATGAATGTTTTGGGCTTTTGGAGAAAAAAGGATCACCACAACCTGCAACCAAGCAATCTTCGACCAAAACATCACCCCACCTGCATCCAAACATCTGATAGTGCCACCACCAAGATCACCCACTTGATGCCTTCCACCCAACAACCACATCACGCCCAACACCATGAACACCCACCCGAAACTCCAATATGTCGCCTAATTGAAATATAATTTGGTACCATCATCTTCTTCCCTAGTCATGGCCGACTTGAATATAATTTTGAAAGAGATGACATAAATTTAAAATTAAATAGATGACTTATGATCTTGAATAATGTAAATGCAATTTTTTTTTCCTTTCAGTATCCCAGAGATGGAAGAGAGGAATAAGAGACTAACGGGGCCCATACCCCCATTATGTCTTATTTTTTTATTCTTAAGACCATCTCTAACTCATAGGATAAAGCTTAAAATATAAGCTTTAAACCCCCCTCCGCCCAAAAACCATCTTTAAACATTGGGCTAAAATAAGCCCTGAGAAAAAAAATGTATCTCTGAGCTAAATTCCCCCTAGGATTTATGTTTGGCTTAAACTATTCTGGACCCACCAAACTGTCATATTTCAATTTGTTTTTAATTTACAATCCAACAACTGTGATCATATGAGATCAAATCTAACGGTAAAAAAAAAACAAGATATTTGACAGTGCAAAATTAAATCTAATGTCTAAAATAGTTATAAAAAATTATTTCAAACAAATTTCACTTAAAACTTTATAAATACCTATGTAATTGTATGATTTTTAATTACTTATTGGAATTTAAATATTTTTAGATTGAAATGTTCATAAAAATAAGGATGAATTTGTGAAAAATCAATAAAAAGTTAGAATATAACAATAGATCAACAATATTTATGTTAACTATAAATAGGTCAGTTATGTATTGTGATACTTAAATACATTTAAAATAAACAAAGATTATAAAATCTACCACTACAGCTGGCACTTGTTTCAACTAACCTTCCATTTCTCATAGTGTTGTATTTGGAATAAATCAATACCGATTTCCTAATACTGCTTTTTACATTTGGATTTAGACACTGCGTTGCAGTGCATCATTCCTCCCAACATCATCGTGCCAAGCATTAGCACGCTACCGTTAAGCATTGTGCAGAATAGTAAGGAGATGACAACAAGCTTAGATCTAGCAGAGGAGAAGCGCGAGCAGATCATCACCCGAATCGCAACCTACCAGCAGCAACTCTTTTTCAGCTATAATAAAAAGGCCAAGATACGGCAGTTCCAACCCGGAGATTTAGTCCTAAGAAAAGCGTTCATCACTGCCTGCAGATAAGGCTCTAAAAAGATGGATCCCATCTGGGAAGGTTCGTACAAGATCACCAGAGTAGGCGGCAATGGTAATTACACCCTCGCCGCCATGAACAACAAAAAGATTGAGAAACAATGGAATGCCTACAACCTGAGGAAGTACCATGTGTGACCTCCCACTATATTAAGACCCAAAGACTCAAACAGCTCAACAGGTACCACTTCATAGGTCGAGGATTATCAGTTGTTATGCAGTCTTTACAGTTAAGTTATTCGTTCGTTTCACTCATTTTTCAATGAGGAATTCAGAAGTAATTTACAACTTGGCTCGACTACATGCCTACAACAACTTATCTATCCTGCACTTCAAAAAAATATTGTCTTAGGGACTCATCGCAGGAATTGCACCCCCTAAGGGACCAACCATGCTCTCTAGTGCGAGAGGGTAAACTAATTCCCCGACACCCACATGGGCTTGCTCTCCAAAGCAAGAGGATAAACTCTACACTCCGAATATCCAGATGTGGATGAGCCAGGTTACCCTAGTATAACTAGATGCATGATGGCTTGCGTCGGGATTCCTAGAAGTAGCCACAATGGTCTTTTTCAAGACTTGGCTAATTGAAGAATTTTGGGTCTCTTGGCCTAATTTGTGAGGAACTGGACCCTAGAGATGAAGGGGGCACATAACGCGGCACGACTTATGGAATGATTTCCTGGAACCCTAAAGCTGCTATCGAGTGCACTAAGGTAGCCTACTGTTTCTAGAAGACTACCTACGGCTTGTTATTCGAGCAGTAAAGCCATGCTAAACTTATACAACTGAACATTTTTGTGAAAGGTTAAACAAATTAGCGTGCATATACAAAGCTTTATCCACTACCGACATGCTACGTAGTCGATAAGCTTCACCACTGCCAAGCGCGGAACAACCTACACC